CATCTCTGTTAAAATAACAAAAAAAATGTCTGTCCTAATTACAGAAAATAACACACTTGATACTTGTTACTCTATTGTTTCTTGCAGAAAACAACTGAAAGGCATGATGGCTGAAGAAGAAAGGCCTCAATTCTATTCATTTGTGCTTATGATGGACTTGGCACTTCCACATATTTAGGCCTGGCTAACTTATAAAACACAAGTAAACATGAATTAGCTAACAGTAAACACATTTACAAAATGCTGATTCTATTTAATTACTTTTGATTTGATTCAATGCTTTTTGAACATTTAGTTAGTTGTGCTGTATGTTACCTCTGATATTATACGTCAGTGTTTGTATGGCGCAAGGCAGGGGCACAAAGGATTCAATTGTAGATTCCAACATGTGCTTCCTTCTACTAAACGTAAAAAGTCTCTAAGGGCATTCCAACCTTTCGGTCCTCTCTTGGAATACTTGTTGTGCCTTCTGTACAAACTTAGAGTGCACATTTGTCAGTACCTCATCTTTACAGTACTTTAAATATAAGTTGAAGCCATGCAGTCTATTCATGCATATAGGTATGGACATCAGGGTGTTGTTGATCTGCTTTTCATGTATGTTCAAAGAATGAAGGAGTGCAGGGTTACGTTTTCTAGTCCGGTTCATTTGAGCTGCATGACGACTGCACAGAGTAAGGAACGGGAACGAGACAAAGGAGGGCGTATCCATGGGGGTGGATCTCTGAACGGAGTTCCTCTTTTCTTCCACCAGGCGTTTGCTGTTGGCGAAAATCCTATCCACAGCTGAAGGACTGGAATTACTTGGAGCTGTTGCTGCTTGTAGTGGATTCCTGCCGACGAGACAACAGAATTAGACATTTGTGGTAAAGGACCCACAGCACTGAGAGCCTCGTGGTTGACCAGACTGAGATACGTCATGCAGCTGACTTCTTTCGCTCAGACAGGGGCTTCAGGCAGAGGACAGAGTGAGCGGGAGAGAATGTGTATTGTGGATGTGTTAGATCTGTCACTGAACACCATGCTCAAAAATTACACGAAGGAGAGTGGTTGCTAGGGAACCGAGTGCCTGATTTCTCTTTGCACCTCTCCTGCACAAAGAATTAGGTCACATTTAAGACAGGAGACAGCGTCAGTCATGCTCTGAAGTGCCGTCCTGTGAAAAGGACAGAAGGAGTAAAGTCCTATTCCCCGTACATATACGTGAAATAAAGATTACAATTTGAATATATTAGTGATGGGTCAGAAAGGGGCATGAACACAGATTAATATCCACATGCACAGCATCAATTTGAAAACATGGTGATTCAATTAAAGATGCAGTTACTAAAAAAAAAAAACTGACATTAAACTTCAGATAGTGTCTGAAAANATATGAGTATGTAATTTCCGAGTTTGATCCCTCATCGAAATCAGTTGCATTAAGATTAATAACATGGCTTCCAATTGGAGAATTTTCTAGCATTGTAACTGTTAGACTAGCTTTATGAAACATGGGAGCATTGTCATTGTTGTCCAAAACACGAACAATAACACTAGCGGTGCCAGATCGAGCAGGTGTTCCTCCATCTATAGCCGTAAGTATTAGATTATGAACAGCTTGCTTCTCGCGATCTAAGGTTTTTTTCAAAATTAAATCTGCAAATTTGGACCCTTCTCTTCCACTCTGAACCTCGATACTGAAATATTCACTTTCGCTCAGTTGATATGTTTTTAGTGCATTAGTACCAACGTCACGATCAACGGCATTGCTTAAAGAAAATCTCTCCCCTTTTTGTGTCGCTTCCGATATATCTAAATGTATGACGTCTCTTCGAAATTGTGGGGCGTTGTCATTCATGTCCACAATTTCTACTTCGATGTTAAAAATACGCACTGGGTTGTCCAATGTGACTTCCAGTCTAAGGTAACAAGAGGATGATGTCTTTGTGGTGCAAATGTGTTCTCTGTCAATCTTTTCCAGAACATACAGATCACCAGTCTCTTTGTTCACATCCAGATATTTCTTGTTCGCGATTATGTCAACTCTCATCTTTCTCTTTGTTAGCGTTGTAATGTCCAGTCCGAGATCTGCAGCGAGGTTAGCGACCACTGATCCTTCTTTCATCTCTTCGGAAATAGAATAATGAGTTACCGAGGTTGATGCGTTGCGAACGGAGGTAAAAAGAAGAAAAAGCGCCACGTACCTCCGCAGTGACGTCTTTGTTACAACAAGAGCCATTTTTGCTATAGATTGAAAACACTTCAGATGATAAAACAAAAGTTTCCCGTGATCATGAACGTGTTCCCTACAGCCATGAACTGAATATATCCAAAAAATTCGGACCGAGTCAAAATGCAAAAAACAAATGTGACTACATTTTCTGCTTAGCGTCCTTGCACCACAGAGTTCCACAGTCTTTACACAATGACGATCAAATCATAAAGGCCCACCCCCGATGACGTTTACAGGCTTTGATTTTAACTGCAAAATAGCGCCACCATTAAGATAAGAAATAAAAGTTGTGAAATACGAGCCCAAGAAAATACGGTAAATAAGGTAATCTCTTATTGACCGTATTTCAAATATTTCATATTTCAAATATGAAATATAGATGCAAGTTAGTAAAATATAACACCTTAGAACACTGTCGTGTTTGAGAAAGTGTTATTGTTCATTTTCTGAATTTTGTCTTTTTAAATGCATTTTTAATTGTTTCGATTAAACAATTAGTTTCAGAAGCTCCGAATTGCTATTATCTCAAATTAAAATAAAAACATGTTAAGCAACGGCTAAAAATCTATATGCCGTATTTAGATTATGTAAATGGAGTTTTAAATATTTGTTGTACATAAATAACATTCATTAGTTGATAACTGCAGAAGACACTTCTTCTTAAGAGCTGACGGAACGATGGGCCAAGCTGCAAGTGACTCTTCGATAACATAAGAGTTCAATAATTAAATTGATTTATGAAAAAATGTAAACATAAGAATTATGGCATTACGGTCTTGCGGTAAACAAGTACATTTAAGACTTGCAATGTGTTTTACTTTATAAAACACGTAAAAAGAAAAATTAGTAAAATATTGAACTTCAGAAAATGCTTCTTAGGTTTTAAAAATTGAAATCATAGGAAAAGCAATTTAGCTAAAATATTTTAGATGTAATATGTAATAGAACAAAATCTTCCGTAAATGAAACTATTAAGTAAAATTGTAATGTTTTTCAGAGAAGATGTACATTTATGTTGTGTAGTTAGATCATTGAGAAATAATTATAGATATCATCACACAAAACATGTGGTAGACAAAAATCAGAACTATGGTTTAAATATATGAAATATAAAAGAAAAATCTCAAAAATAAAATAAAGTAAGGTATACATAAATATTAGTTCAAAATAAATTGTATTTCATTGTCTGTAAAATAAGTAAAATCTTGGAGCTACTGAAAATTTTTTTTTAGAAAATGTAAAATCCTGTTTTTAGTAGGTATGCATAGAAAAAAATGTGTGCATGACTACAAAAAAAATCTACAACTGAAAAAAGTTCATTTGTAGATTTAAAACCGAAGGCATAAATATCATTTATGTTCCTACCTGCAAAGTGGAAGCAGCTGAGTCACTAGTCTCTGACAGTCCTGTCCCTCTCGGGATGCTGGACACGATGTATCTGGAGCCCTTTGGCACAGGCTGTCTCACCACCAGCTTTCCTTTCCTGGTCTCTGCTAGAAACAGACTGTACCAGTAGGCATCGTTGGACACCAGAGTGGAGTCTGCGATGGTGGAGTTCCTCTCACTGATCACACTGTTCCTGCTGGGAGGAGCGGTTTTGCTGGGCTTGGCTTTCTGACACTTCAGCACGATGGTGACCAGTATGGTGATGAGCAGGAGAAATGACACCGAGGCCAGACCGATGACCAGATACAGGTTGATGTCTGAAAAGATGTCGTATTCCAGAGGCATCTCAGTCATGTCAGAGTATGCCTTAACATCAGTCTCCGTTGTCAGCAGCTTGATGGTGACTGTAGCAGAGAGAGCAGGCTACCCGTTGTCCTTGGCAACAACAACCAGTCTGTGGTGGCGTGAGTCTTTGTAACTGAACATCCTCATAGTCCTGATTTCTCCGTTGTATTGGTCCAAACTGAACAAGGAAGCATCAGTCACCTGGAGAAACTGGTAGGTAATCCGAGAGTTGTGCACAGAGTCTGTGTCTAAGGCGATCACTTTAGCCACCAGGGATCCTTTATCAGTGGATCTGGGGATCTTCTCCTCCACCACTGAGCCGTGAGCGCGCCAAGGAGAGACGATAACTGGAGCGTTGTCATTTTGGTCAACAATAACGATGTGGACGGTCACATTACTGCTGAGAGGAGGAGAACCAGAGTCTCTGGCCTCAATGTGGAAAAGAAATTCCTTCTCAATCTCATAGTCAAAAGTTTTCAGTGCATAAAGATTCCCGTTCTCTGGATTGATGGAGAACAGCATAGACATGGAGGTGTTGGCAATCTCCTTCTCTATGATGAAATAAACTAGATACTGGTTTTCATGGAGGTCAGGATCAAATGCAGTGAGTGAGCTGAGCAAGGAGCCTGGTGCATTATTCTCCATCACACGTATGGTATAAAATGACTGGGAGAACTGAGGAACATTATCATTAACATCCAGCAGCTCCAGAGTCATAGTTTCATTGTCAGACAGAGGAGGAGACCCTCTGTCTGTGACAGTGAAGGTGATTTCATATTCTGGGACCTTCTCTCTGTCTAATGGCTCTGACACCACTAACTCATAATAGTTATCAGAGGACTCCCTCAGTTTGAAAGGCATGTTCTCTGGAATATGAAGATCAACCTGTCCATTATCACCTGAGTCTTTATCACTGACACTAACTACAGCTATCACTGTGTCTAACTCTATGTTCTCACTGACTGGACTCTGGAAGGATTTAATAGATATTTCTGGGTGGTTGTCATTCATGTCTTCAACTAGGATCTTTATGGTACATTGTCCTGATAAACTGTTGGCTCCTTTATCTGTTGCTATGACTTACATGTCATAAATCCTAAAATCTTCATAATTCAACATTCCTTTTACAGTAATTTCTCCTGTGGCTGGATTAAGATTAAATGTTTCTTGTGTTTTCTCTGATGTATATAAACTGTATGAGTATGAAATATCAGAATTTGATCCGTCATCTAAATCCGAAGCCTTTAAATTAATAACGAGGCTTCCAATTGGAGAATTTTCCATTATTTTGACATTGTATGCTGCTTTATCAAATGTAGGTGCATTGTCGTTTGTATCTAAAACATGGACGAAAATATTGACCGTTCCAGATCGAGCAGGTGTTCCTCCATCTACAGCTGTGAGTATTAAATTATGATTCTCCTTCTTTTCACGATCTAATGTCTTTATTAGAATCAAATCAGCGAATTTTGAGCCATCTCTTCCTGTTTGTATTTCGATGTTAAAATATTCACTTTCACTTAAATAATACGTTTTCACGGAATTTGTTCCAACGTCAGGATCCACCGCATTACTAAGTGAAAACCTTTCTCCCTTTGGTGTCGCTTCGGATATATCTAGATGAATGGCGTCTCTCCGAAAATGCGGGGCGTTGTCGTTCATATCTAACACTTCTAGCTCTATGTTGAATATCCGTAATGGGTTTTCAAGCGTTATTTCGAGTCTTAGATAACACGAGGAAGACGACTTTGTATTGCAAATATGCTCCCTGTCAATCTTCTCAACGATATACAGCTCGCCAGTCTCTTTGTTCACGTCCAAATATTTTTTGTTAGCGATTATGTCAAGGCGCATCTTTCTCTTTGTTAGAGTCGTTACGTCGAGGCCGAGGTCGGTAGCGAGGTTTGCCACAACTGTCCCTTCTTTCATCTCTTCAGGCAAGGTATAATGGGTAACTGCGCTTGATATTTTGCGAACGATTAGGAAAACAATAAAGAGCAGCACGTACCTGTGCATATAGCCCTTTGTTAAAACCGGACTCATTTTAAAATTCAAGATGACAGTAATTCAAACGGAGAAAGTCAGGCTATCAGCGACAGTGAAAATACTCCTCTGCCATCAGTCCGAAGCCTTTAAAACGTGTTAAATCCAGGCAAAAAAAAGACGTTTCAGCACCACGGAGCTGTCCAGTCTCTGTATGCACACGCTCCGACAACTGGTACCTCCTGAATGACGTTCATCAGCCGAACTTTAAGAAAGAAAACAGCGCCACCATATAGTAATCCCAACTATGTGCTGAAATTGAAAGTTGAAAAAAAAAATAAAAATACTTTTTATCTCATAAAAAGATATTGGAGGCAAAGTCTACCTCAAAATATTCTTCAAATATTATGATTGTTTCCTTTATTAGGCAGATCCTCAACTTTACTTCCAGAAATGTGAAATCTAAATAACATTTTCAATGTTGCTTATAGTTTCCATCCATCCATCCATCCATCCATCCATCCATCCATCCATCCATCCATCCATCCATCCATCCATCCAGTATTCCCCTTTGATTCCACGTATATGAGTGCAAGGGCTTGTCTGGCAGTCATTAATCAAGTTGCTGGGTAATTCCTGGACAACTTGCAATTTAATCCTAATAATCTTTCATAGACTTGAATGAAATTCATATTGCCTGGTGAAATAATAATTGCCTTTCGAAAAAAAAAACAAATATTAATATTGGATAGACACAAAATCATGAATTATTTCTGTTCCTAATATTTTGTTATTGGTATTAGCGATAAGATTGATTTTTGTTGCTGATGATAGTAGTCATACAGAATTAGCACTTAAACTGAGTATTATTTTAATTTTAAAAGTTTAGTTTATTTAATGTTCCTTAGCATTTTACCAAGATACTATTATTCATCCTTGGTAAGCATCTGCAGTAAATATGGTTTGGATGTTAATAAATTATTTATTTTTCAACTAATTTGTAAAATGCTTCAATACATATGTTACCATACCTTACTAATAAGTCCTGCATTTCTATTTCTGATTTGAAATTATCAAAAAGTATAGGGTGATTCAAAATCTAAGGTTCTCTTGAAAAACAAAGAAAATATGTGAATAAGACTGAATTACCTAAAACAAAATATAGGGACTACAAAATTTTTTTGACGGATTTTGTATTACAGTTCTTGTAATATGAAAAAATATGATTATGAAGAGACAGATTTCAAAGACATAAAAAAACACTATGCAACAATATGATCTTGAACAAAATTATACTGCAGTCAAATTCAATGTGTCAATGTGAAAGACAAGCAATAAAGATAAATTTATCTTCCTGACAAATTATGAAATTCCTACCTGCAGAGTGGAAGCAGCTGAGTCACTAGTCTCTGACAGTCCTGTCCCTCTCGGGATGCTGGACACGATGTATCTGGAGCCCTTTGGCACAGGCTGTCTCACCACCAGCTTTCCTTTCCTGGTCTCTGCTAGAAACAGACTGTACCAGTAGGCATCGTTGGACACCAGAGT